AAAAAAAAAAAAAAAAAAAAAAAAAAAAAAAAAAAAAAAAAAAAAAAAAAAAAAAAAACCATTTGGCAGTGTTTGTGACAATTGTCAAAAATCATGAAATTTTGAATGTAAAACGAATGTTGTTTTGAAACGCTACGGACTGACAATATGCCGAAATAGATTGTGGTTGAATGAATTGTGAAAATGTTGAATGGAACACTGCGAAAAGCTTGCTTTTTTTCTGAAGGACGATCCAGCCTTTTTTACAGGGTTCTTAGCGTTTTTAAAAAGTGCTTAAAGTTGCTTATTTTCGATTTTCGTTTTTTAAAAGCCCCCGCATAAAAACGGGGTATTTTTATGCGGGGGAATCAATAATTTTTTTTCATTGGGTGTTTTTAAAAATTGCTTAATTTTCCCTAAAGGGAAAATTAAGCACTTTTTGGGAAAATTAAGCACTTTTTAAAAAAACCCAATGAAAAAAGCACCTTGGCTTTTAAAAAACGAAAATCGAAAATAAGCAACTTTAAGCACTTTTTAAAAACGCTAAGAACCCTGTAAAAAAGGCTGGATCGTCCTTCAGAAAAATATTTAATTATCTCTTTCATTAATTTTAAACAAACGTTAGGTTCAATTGTTAAATATTAAAAAAAAGTAAAATTTATAAGGCATAAACAATTACAGCGATCTGCTACTTTTGTTCGATGCTTTTGCTTTGTGATTGTGAACTCAAAAATTAACTTTTAATCAATTAGCATTGGACAGACTCCGGCTGCTCTAAGTAACTCAAAAATCTTGGGATCAGATCTTAATCATAACTTAGATCTTAATCAGATCAGATCGTAACCACAAAATCTTAACAACAGGACCCCATTTAAATAAATTTAGAAAATTAAAAGTAACTTTGTTACACTAAAAAAAAAAAAAAAAAAAAACTAGATCGTAACTGAAATAAGTAGATGATAAATAATTAGCAGTAACAAAAAATTGTAACTGACCGACAATGGTCCAAATTGTAATTAACTACCACTGGGCAATAAAGAATATTTATTTATTAGACAATAAACAAAGAATAATTATTTATTAGACATTAAACAAGTGAAAATTTCTTTTAGCTCTAATTTAAAATGGTTCTAATAAAAAATCTCGATTTCATAAAACAAATAATCTTTAGATAAAAAATAAAATAATAAAACTTAAAACAATAATAAATCCATTAATTTATAATGGAGCTAAAATAAATATTATGATCCAACCGAATTCATAACTACAAAGACACTAGTATAAAAAACAATTTCCGCAACTACAAGGGTACTAACTAATACTAATAAAAAAGTTCCATAGCTACAGGTAGCAAAAGGCTAATATCAACAAAAAAAAAATTACATTTATAAATTTCTTGAATTAACTTCTAAATAAATTTATTGAATTAACTGCTTACACTAACAAAAATATACAGCTACTAAGTGGCTAAAGAATGTTTTTTTTTTAAAGGTTCCTAATTTAAAAAAAAGTATCTAATTTACATTACAAGATAAAATTTAAAAAATTTCGGCTAAACATTAAACATTCCTAAGAGAGAGCTAGAATGAAGTTCCATGGCTATAAGTTTGCTAATTTAAAAAGAAGTCCCACTGATATGAAAGATGCTGATACCAAAAAAAGTTGCACAACAGCAAGAGTGCTTAGATTAAATACAAGATAGTTACACAGCAACGAAGGGGCTAATTAATATTATAAAAAGTTCCAATCCATATTAGAAAGGTGCTAATATTAAGATAAATTACAAAGCTACAATACAAGGATGCTAAAATTAAAAAATAGTTCCACCATTACAAAAATTCTATAACTGAAACTTGCTATGAAATTTGAAAATGCTATAACTTGCTCCACAGCCATAAAAAAGCTATAAATAAAAATAAGTTTTACAGCTACAAGGGTACTAATATTATTAACAATAAAATCACAGCTACAAGGATTCTAATATTAAAAAAATAATTCCTCGGTTAGAAGCGCTGTAGCTACAAAGGAGTTAAAGCTGTACAGCTTATGGTATTATAGAAAGTTCCATAGCTGCAAGGTTGCTAATCTTTAACAGAAATAGAGTTATAAAAGAAAATTTAAAAAACTATAATTTGATGACTTCTATTAATTAAAGTAAAAATTATTTCTGACATTTTACACTTTTGATTTAACACACCAATATGTTTCAGGGGGGGGGGATCGATTTTTCATTATTATCTAATTTTTGAATACGTGTTTTAGGCAATGTAACAGCTAAAATTAATGAAACAAAAAAAAATTGAATTACTTTTAAAAACGTCTTATGTTAATATCCCGAATTAGGTCGTTTCGGATTCCCAAAAATAATGGTTACTAAAACATATTACCAGGGGTCTGCTTAGAAGTAATTTGGGTCCGTTAATGGACCCTTCACAAAATATCTTCTCATAAAAACGGACACTTCACAAAATATTTTAACTTAAAAACGGACCCTTCACAAAATATTTTAACTTAAAAACGGACCCTTCACAAAATGATTTTTCTTTTAATCGGACCCTTCACAAATTTGTTTATCTTCATTATTATTTTGTTAATCGAATAAACCCTTTCCAGGGCAGAAAACAAGAAAGATGGATGTAAACGAATTAAGTTTTGTCTTCGGCAGACGATTCTTCCATTATTCGTCCGAAATTAATATTCTGCGTTCAGCAGTATAGGCTAAATACCAAATATTTGTATGTTGCATCTCTAATTTAGAAGCAGCAATTGTTGTTTATTTTTTAAAATTTAATTTTTTTAATTATAATTTTACAGTGTTGAGCATAATCTTGTATGTCTTTACAATTTAAAAACTCCTTGAAAAATTTTTTTTTTGCAATAACGGACCCTATTTGCACAAATTCATAAAAGCGGACCCTGGTTGAAAGAATGTGAGTAATTTTTTCACAATTTCACGAAAAACGGACCTTTCACAAAATGTCTGGACAGACTCCTGATTACGTAATAAAAAGAAAAGTCGCAATTATAATTTAAAAAAAATTGCCGTGACCAGGATTCGAACCTGGGTTATTGCGGCCACAACGCAATGTACTAACCACTATACGATCACGGCTCATGATTCGAACCATTCTAATTACTATTAGCAGGATTTGATTAAGAAGCAAAATAAAATAATTGGAGCGAGACTTGTTCAAGGGTTCTTCCAATAGTTGTGATTTTAATTCAGAGATGGCAGCACTAAAAAAAACTCAAACATTTTATGGCATAAACTGGGGGAAGAAGAAAAAAAACTTCAAATTTTCACGTTTGAAACTTCAAGTAATGGAATTTTTAAATTAAGTTAAAGTATGGTGCGTTTGCTATGAAACATTCGGAAGTACGAATGCATTTGAAAATGTGAAACTTTCGTTGCAATTCTTCGAAGGATTTATT